TGCACGGCTCCCTGCTCCGCAGGGTCCTTCCCCCTCCCCATGCTCTCCCCTGCTTTGCTGCAAATGAGGTTCACTGTTCCCCTGCTGGGTGGGGGCTGGGGTGTGGAAGCCAGTGTCTCCAGGGCAGCGGGGTCTCTGTGCAGGCAGGCAGCTCTGGCAGTGGCTTGGTGGGGGTGGTGTGGGGAAGGTGCTGAGGGGGCGGGATGGAGCTAAAGGAGCTGGGGGCAGGCAGACAGGGGGTGCATCCTGGGCAGTAAGGGTGCTGGGGGGCAGATCGCAGTAGAGTAGGGGGCAGATCACAGGGCACTGGGGGGTCATATTCTGGTTGATGAGGGAGCCAGGGGGCAGAGCCTAGGGGACGGAGGGGGCCAGGGTAGACCACAGGCAGCAAAGGGGCCTGTGGAGGATCCTGTGGGACAAGGGGGTGGATCCTGGGTGGTGAGGGAGCAGAGGGGCAGATCCCAGGGGATGAAGCAGCCAGGGGCAGATTCCAAGCAGCAAGGGGGCCAGGGGGCGGATCTCGGGGGTGGGCAGGGGCAGATCACAAGCTGTAAAGGGGCCAGGGTCAGATTCTATGGGCTGGGATGGTGTGTCAGGCCCTGTTGTGTTGTTACAGGAGGCACAGACCAAGCGCAGTGGGAGGATATCACAGGAACCACAAAGCTGGTCTATGCCAACGAGTGTGCCAACTTCACCACCAACGTGTCCGCCAGGTGAGCGACAGGTGCGCGGTGCCTCGTGTGGCCTGGGGCTGGTGACCCGGCTGGCGCTCTGGGGCGTGTAGAGCTTGGCCAGAGCGTGCCATCCAGGGGCCGGGTCACAGAGCAGGGCTGAGGCCCAGGTGATTCAGTGACTCAGCCACAGTCCCAGAGCTGGGACCTATACCCAGCACTCCTGAGTCCCAGCTCTTGCTGCCCGAAGGGAAAAGTGCCAGCATTTCCCAGGGTTCCCCCAGGCTGTGAATCCAGGACCTCTGGCACCTCAAGCCCCTGGGCCATCAAGCCCTGGTGGCATCTGAACAAAGACTCTCACGTGCCTAGGCCTCTGCAAGCCTCGCACGCTGTATTATCACAATACGTGCAAACGCAGGCCTGCCCTGTCTTCATGAACACAGCAATGTCCAGCAGGGGGCGCCCTGGCCAAAGGCAGGGGCCGAGCAGTCCCCCAGGGCGAGTCTGCTCCGGGCTGCGAGTGAGCGGAGAGCCCGCACAGTCATGCTGGAGGGTTGTCTTGGAGTTCATTTTATTTTATGGGGTTTCCCCCATTTTTCTGTTCTCTTCCTTTGTCGCTCTCTCGGTGCCGGCGTGCCTAGCATGCCGCGCACTGCGATGCTGGCCTGGCGCCCCGGGATGGCCCGGTATAGCTGACATCGTCGTTCTTGGGATGTGTTTATGGGAAGCCAGCGAGGGGCGCTGGTGTTCAGTCCTGGGGGAGGCCTGGCCTGAGCGTGTCAGGCTCAAGGGGCCCCCAGCTTGGCTGTAATGACCAGCTTGGGGCTCGTGCCCTGCAGGTTCTGGCTGGCGGATTGCCCACGCACGGCTGAAGCTGTCCATTTTGCCACCATGCTGTACAAGGAGCTGACGGCCGTGCCCTACATGGCCAAGTTCGTGGTGTTTGCCAAGATGAACAATGCACGGGAGGGGCGACTGCGCTGCTACTGCATGACTGATGACAAGGTGGACAAGACGCTGGAGCAGCACGAGAACTTCCATGAAGTGGCCCGCAGCAGGGACATTGAGGTAGTGCCCCTCCCCCTGCCTGGTGTGCGGACAGCCCTCGGGGTGTCCCAGCTCTCCCCTGCTCACTCCACAGCAAGGCCTGGTCTGTGTGGCCCCCGCCTGCTTACCCAGCTGCAGTGGGACCTGCCTGCTCCTTGGCTAAGGGACGTCGGGGAGGAGTCTCTGCACCCAGCTTTGCCTGAGCCCCCCACACCGTGCTGGGGCCCTGTGGGGCAGGGGAGAAGGGAGCTCTGAGCCTGACCCCTTCCCGCTCTCCCCAGGTGCTGGAGGGGATGCCTCTGCATGTTGAGCTCTCGGGCAACCTGGTGCCTGTCAAGAAGGCCACGCAGCAGCGCAGCTTCCACTTCCAGTCCTTCCAGGAGAACAGGCTGGCCATCCCCGTCAAGGTAACAGCCGCCTGAGGGTTTGAGCAGCTGGGCCGGGCTGGGCCGCGGGCCCATCTCTGCTCCTTGCCCACCTGTGTTGTGGTGTCTAGGTGCGGGACAGCAGTCGGGAGGCAGGTGGCTCACTCTCCTTCCTGCGCAAGGCCATGAAGTACGAAGACTTGCAGCATGTCCTGTGCCACCTGAACATCACCATGCCACCATGCACCAAGGTCAGTGAGCACTGGGCCAGGGGCCTAGGCAGCATTCCTGACGCCTTCCTCTAGCCATGCAGGGAGGTGCTGGGCACTGGGGCCTCCCCCGCACTCAGCCC